TGATTGATTGATTGATGATTGATTGGTGATTGATTGATTGATTGATTGATGATTGATTGATGATGACGTCAACATACTGCCAGCGATCACACACGAGCGTGTTTACCACGGCATACGCATGTTGATGAACTCTGTTTTTTTTTCTTTTTTCCCTGAATGAACTCTTTGAAAGAAAAGGAGAAGGATAGTCCAGAGTCCGCGATAGCTGTTGGCTATGGCAGACGGTCGCCGCCCTTCTTGTGCCCCCCGCCCTTCTTGTGCCCCCCGCCCTTCTTGTGCCCCCCGCCCTTCTTGTGCATGTCCCCCCTCTAGCTCAGAGTGAATAAGGCCCCGTAGAGTGTAAACTTCTCGTTGGCGGGGGCATGGGGGGAATTGTGTAAACGGCTTGTGGGGACATGCAAGTAAACGGGCACGCGATGCGAGAMGTGCAAAGAAGATTGACATGGTGGCTGCACAAGGATGACACGGAGAAATCCACAAATGTGGACGATATTTATTTATTTTTATTTTATTAATTTATAATTTAATTATTATTATTATTATTATTAATAATACGATGGACCACGGGGACATTGTCCCACTAGCTAACTCCGTTGCGGTCCGTTTTTAATTAAAGAAACTTKAAAAAAGGCAATAGAATAGAGACTTATCTTTTCTTTTTCTTACAAAAAAAGCAGAAGTAACTCCTTTCTCTCGAATACTACACCCCCTACCCTCGCCACTTTCCGTTGAGCTAMCGGTCGCTGTCTCCTTTTTTYGAGACAGCTACGGGTAGCTCAACGACCCTCTTGTTCCTTTCGTCAAAGGCGTTTTTTAAGAGAAAGTGTACATTGTACGAGCCKCCTTCTGTTTGCCATTTTTGTACCGGGACGGGATTCTGGGAACTGTTCATTTTCTGCTGTGGAAGTGCCCGTATGACACACCAATTGTGAAAAAAGAAAAACCAGAACAATTGTATTCGTGCCATTTCTAAATGCATTTGTCATTTGAAATTGAATTGGAATTTAGAATGAATTTTTTTAGCTGACGCACGGTTGAGCTGCCTCAACTAAACGGTGGTGCAAGTGGTGGGACAAGGTCCCAGATCAGATAGTAAACTGATCAGAACAGATGCAGCGCACTTGATCTTAGGCAAAAGGCCGAGAAGATGCAAAAAAAAAAAAAAAAAAAAAAAAGGCGAGAAAGGCTTTCGTTGTTGAGGTAAATCCAGAAATGGACGAAATTTTACAAATGGAAAATAGTGAAAAAAACAAGGAGCCCGTCAATGAATGTGGACATAGGAGAACAGAAAAGAGAGCGATGAACCTGGCTCAGTTTTGGTACACCCTGGAACTCTTGAAATATGGATCAGACCCAAAAAGAAAAAAAAGAAAAAAAAGTACAAGAAAAAGAAAAGGAAAAAACGAGAAAATAAAGAGGAAAAAAAGGAAGAAAGAGGGAAAAAAAGAAAAAAAAGGGAAAAAAAGAAAAAAAGAGGGAAAAAAAGAAAAAAAAAAGGAATAAAAAAAGAAATACAGACCCAAGGTGGTATCCGGATACACAATCCAAGGAATAGTGACAAGCAATGGCCAAGTAAGTTGCTCTCGCACCCGCGAAAATAACTTCTTATGGATTCCAAATGCAYTTGGTTTTGTCGGAAAAAAAAAAGAAGAAAAGAATGACGATCGAGAGATCCCSAATGCATCCGAACTACATCCTGTCCAGATGCATTGGGAAAAAAAATCCACCCTTCCCCCCGACCCAACAAAAAAAAATCCAGATGATGACARAGATTGCATGATGAGCGCGTGCATGGCTGACCCCACCCTTCCCTCCGACCCAACAAAAAAAAAAAAAAAAAAAAAGATCTATTCATCAGAAAAGAAAATCGATTTTTGATTAAAAAAAAGAAATCCATTCATTTGAAAAAAAAGAAAACCGTTCATACGTCCACATTCGTTTCTCCTGTTGAAAGATATAGATGCTCAGTGACACWTTTTTTTTTTYCCTCTTTTTTTGGTAGAGACACATTTGGAATGCAGCACTCGACATGTAACCGCCAACATTTTTGAATGCATCTGGACAGGATGTAGCGCACATGCATAAGGAATCTTGGGCGATGGTGAGTAGTGCCAACATTTTTTTGAATGAATCTGGACAGGAAGTAGTTCGGATGCATTGGCCGTCTTGGCGGATGGCACGTGGTGACAGGATGTAGATCAGATGCATTTAGAATCTTGGGGGATGGCTTGTGGTGCAGAAGGTACGTAGAGGCCCGAATACACCGAGCCTCCTCAAGCCATCGGCTAAGATTCCGAATGCATCTGTACTGCACCCTGTCCAGATGCATTCAGAATGTTTGCCGGTGCGGAGTGTCTGGAGTGGAGTCTCTCCAGAACAACTCGTCTTCACTAAATGAGCATCCTGCCAACGGGCCTATCGTCTTCACCCGAATAGAACGCCCGGTCATTATCGCTGCATCTGGACCGAAAGTTGTGCCAAATACAGTTCTCTGTAATGACCGGGTGTGAAGACCGTAGCTCAGTTGGTACACCACTGAATTTCTGTCGAAATACAGACCCAATACCTTTCTCGGCCTTTTGACTACATCCTGTCCAGATGCATTCAGAATGTTTGCCGGTGCGGAGTGTGTGGAGTGCAATGAATGTGTTCTGAAACATTAAAAATAAAAAATAAAAAAAATTACAGACCGGAGTTCGGACTCCACTCGAGGCAGGATGTAAGATGAGGAAAGAGAGTGAAGGCCAAAGAACCCACACACGGAACACATAGCCGAAATAACACGGCAGAGATATGCGTAATCGTCTCGAACAATTCCGAAAAATAATAGTTGAAGCACAAAAAGGCATAGCCGTAGCTATGGTCACCTCCTCCGTCAAGGA